GGAGCGCCGTGCATAATTTCCGAGTCGCGCTGCCCAGGAAGGCAGAACGCCTGGGCGAGCGATACTGTACAGACATTAGCTCTCAGATTAAAGATCCATTTCGCCGCACAAACGCTCTCTCTTGTTTATTCTATAAACCCATACTGTCCTCTTCCAACGGGGCGCGTCCGAAGAGATCGACCAAAGAGCTCCCTTTTCGGACGCGGTGAAACATTTTAGCCTGCCATCCCACAACGAAGCTCGGTCTTCGTGGCGGGGGAATACCCCACCCGCCGGTAAGATGCTCACTGTCTGGACAGACGTCTCCGGATCTCCACGGCTACTCGCTCCGGGAAGGATACTCGTGCTAACGCTGTTTATCCGACCCCATTAGGGCAACTCCCGCCATAACTTCCTGTTGGATCGAAACAGATCCAAGTGTTTGAATATCGCGCGACCAGTTCGGTCATTGATAAACTTCTCAGACAAATGCTATACATGTCTGAAGTAATTAATGCCGCTGATTACGATCCGTTGTCGGTGTTAAAACAAAAAAAAAAAATGTTTAACATGAAATTTGCAAAAAGAAACCGAGTTTCGTACAATTGTATGAAGAGCATCAACTACGACACATCGTCTACATCGTTATTGAATTTTTACTATATTAAAGAAATAATTTCAGTTCCGACGCTACCACAAAAATTGGTGCCTCCTATGAGGTGTGAAGTGCTCACCAGGAACTCAATATTGAAACAAAGAGTGCAATCCGAACGAGCCACAGCTGACATACTTGGGATTCACTATCATTAAAGGGACGTCGTCTTCACCCTCCCAGATACCTCACGCTTGGTTGTCGCCTGCAGTCTACGTATCATATTAAATATCAGATAAGCCGTTTGTTCTGTTAACTACGTTATTAATTTGTTTGCATTTTGAGTTACATTTTCTTTAATAATAACGACGCATAAATTTTAGACGAGCGTGAACGAGATAGTGCGTGAATACAGAGGATAACGGACATTCACGCGTATCCTTTAATTAGGGACAATCGAATATTGTGACGAGGTTGTTCAGTTTCGTTCTTTCATATCGCATTGATTATATTAGCATCACACTTCACATTTTCAATTAATCAATATGTCAAATCGCATAACCTTTATTACTCAGATGCGCAAAACGCTCAAAAGTCAAATAACGTCTTTGCGTACTACCCTTGAGCAAGGTAAAATCGACAATACAAACGCTAAGCTTCGTCTTAAACGCGTCACGGAATTATTTAACGCGTACGAGGAGCTCCATGACGAACTTGCATTATTAGACGACACTAACGAAGGGTTAGAGCAAATGACAGAAATACAAGACAATTTTTATGATATCGCAGCGAAAATTGAAAACATGCAGAGCGCAGGCGGGTCTCGTTTCAACGATACGGTCGGGAACAATCCTCTTGGCAATTCGACTTTTGTCGAAAGACAGCGGCAACTCAAACTGCCTGTTGCAGAATTACCTAAATTTGACGGAGATCATAACAGATGGCTTTCATTTAGAAACACTTTCTTAGCTATAGTCGACGCATATACCGACATTAGCAAATTGAGCAAATTTTTATACGTGAAGAATTCGCTCACGGGCGCGGTTTAAAACAAACTCGCGCGTTTTGATGCCACTGCGGAGAATTACAAAACCGCATGGAATTTATTAGTCGATTCGTACGAGAAAAGACACATTATGGTATCAAAGCATTACGACGCCATCCTCGACATCCCTCGATTGACCATCATGACTCCGGAAGGGTTGTCGAAAATTATTGATGAGGTCCATCAACATTTGAACATGCTCGAATCGCTACATGTTCGTAGAAAATGGGAGGAATCTCTCAGTCTCGATATTCTTCCCGATCTCAATCAGTTCTGTAAATTTGTCAGCGAGACCGCGTTCAGGCTCTGTACATTAGAACACGATGCCGCTCGCGATAGAGACGAATCACGTGGAAAACGTCGATTTGATCGAGAAACGCAATCATCGAAGGCGCGATGAACTGATTTAGGAGTTAAAACGTTAGTTACTGAAGTTTCTTCCACTTGCGCTCATTGTCGTGGAAATCACTTCATCTATAAGTGCCCCGTGTTCGAAAGACTAAACATTAAGCAGCGATGGAAATGTGTAAAATTAAAAAGGCTTTGTCGTAACTGTCTTCGTGTACATCAAGGTGTATGTAACTCGTCCCGTTGTAAACGATGCAGTCGATTTCATCCCACACTCCTACATTCAAATATTCTAAATCAAACCGCATCACATTCGGGATATTTGCCTAAGAAGGAGTCGATTGAAACACCTGGAATTAATAAATCACAATGACTAGGCGAAGACACGTTTTCTACCATTTCGCGTGCATCTCGGTCTCAATTAATGATGAGGGCCATTGTATGCGCTCGTGACACGAGCGTTAGATTCATTTGTGACGTGGGACACAGATTCCTGCGTCACAGCTTAAATAATTTTTAAATATTATTATTATATATATTTTACTTGCCTATCGGCAAGGTCAGGTCTTTGTCACAGCAGTCCCGTACGGGCCCTGGCTCGTATGTGAATTTCTATGTCCTTTATTTTAGTTAAGATTTGGGATTTCAAATGGATGCGAGCGGTTAATTCAACTATAAAAATGTTCTATTGTTAACATGGCACTGTAATATTTATTCAATTAATATTTTCGTGGTATTGATTTTAATAATACAATGAGTTATGTGATTTGGATCAAATGTACGTTTGATCGACAAGATTTAATATATACACTTTCCTTCCTTATAATCTCATACAGAAAATATACATATGAAATCGTCGAAAATTCAGTTACGCATTTAATAAAGAAAACAATGAGGAAAAAAAAATACATATATATTTGTTCCTGGAATATCAGATAGGGTTACCCCGGAAATGAAATATATCATTTATTGATATTCCAGAAACCAGAAATTGTGGTTTCATATAATAAAGAACACAATAAAATTGTAGTTTCATATAATAAAGAACACAATAAAATTGTCGGAATAATATTTTTGAAAATATGAATGGAAATACCACCCGAGAACATCAATGAGGGATTCCCCGGAAATGAAATATCATTTATTGATATTCCGAGTGGTCACAATAAAATACATCTATAAATATTTATACAAAAAATATTCCTTGGAAGAAAAAAATCAACTCACCACTAAATCTCTTTACAATATAAATCGAGTAAACGCTGATCTCGACTTTGTGCGTTGTTCGAATCGCCCTGTGGTTGAAGGAAAGCACACACACGTGAAAGAATTATAATTTACGTAATCAAAAGCGAAATTACTATTTACAAAAAGGAAAAAGAAAATCTAAATCTAAAATGCTTTAAATAAATTAAAATAAAATTATTTTAACGAGGAATAAGAGTCCTTGCCTATCACTCACTTTTCACAAAATGAATTTAATACTGCAACTCTGCTCTGAATTATTCGCCCGGACTAATATCACGCTTTCGCGACTGTACGGTGAGAAGTGAGAAGGCTCGTGCCTTGCTCGACCACGTAAACTCGATGGAACGTTCTAGAAGCTTTGGAGACAAAGGATCTTAGAACCGCGTGATCGTCGCCAGTTTATAGAAAAAGTCTTCAAGATTTCGCGACTCGGTACACGCAAGAATTTGGTGTTTACGAGTTGTACCGCGTCTCGCGCCTCGCGCCTCGCGCCTCGCGCCCACCAAACCGCTCGATTCGTCCTAGCGACAACGTGCGCGCGGACGAATCACGCAGCTATTCGAGTTACAGCTTCGGTATTCGGAGCGTACATGGAGAAGAAATAGCAAAATAAAGGTTTAACCTAAATGCGCGATATTTACATGTCCTTCTTCCAATGATATTTGTAACCGTGATATTTGAACGCGATGGTAATATTCGGTGTGCTTATCTTTCCAACAATTGTACATGTATACGCCACTGTTACATTTCATGATTTAACGCCTTTCATTCGTAACAAGCAACGCATTTAACGTATTTACAATACTAAACCTATTAAAATATTAACAATTGAACATATTTACAAACTTTATACAAGGTGCGGCACTGCCAGCAGGGTGAAAATGGCGTGACGACGTTGATTTCAAGGAAGGAATGTGTAACTTTATTCAAAAATGAATTTAATGAACTACTGTCAAAGGCTAGGTTTGTGTTCGATTAGAACGAATATGGGATGGTAAACCATCTCGAACACATCCCTGCCGACGAAATCAAGAAAAATAAAAATGAAAATATCGGCACGTAACACATTGAAGCGCGAGCTTTACTCAATACCTGCGCGACGACACGTTTCGTGACTGAAGAATTCGCGAATAAACTAAAGCTTTCTAAGCGCGCTTGTCCTATTCGAATAAGTGTTGTCAATGGAATGAACACCATGTCTAAGAACAGCGTCGAAATACATTTTCGCTCTATACACAGCGATTTTTCAAAGAATTTTACTTTTTTGACTCTTCCTAAAATAGCTGATTTCGTACCAGATGAAAGTTTTCCGCGGGAGCTAATTGAAATCCCAGCCAATTTAAAACTGACTGATCCCCGTTTCCATATACTTTGGCCAGTAGATATGTTATCATTGGTTTCAGTTGGTCAAATTAGTTTGTCGCGTGATAACTGCGCCTTAGTTTTACAAAAAACTCAGGTTGGGTGGTTGCCGGAGGTTTAAACGGCAAAGAAAAAAGTTCTGTAGTTTCTTGTAATTTAACCAATTTATACGAACAACTGACGAAATTTTGGGTAATTGAAGATGCAAATTCTAAGTCATCAAAGTCATTAGAAGAATCCTTATGCAAAACCCACTATACAAAAAATACGGTACGCAAAGAAAACGGTCGATACGTTGTACGTTTACCTTTTCGAAATAGTAATCGCGATCTCGGAAATTCACGCTCGCAAGCGTTAAAAAGATTTTATTTTCTTCAGCGAAAACTAACTGCGAATCCTAGTCTCAAAACGGAATATCACAAGGTAATGCAAGAATATATTGATATGGGACACATGTCCCTTGTTAATTGCGAAACGGAGGACGGTTATTACCTTCCGCATTATGCGGTAACCAAGGTGAGTAGTGTTACCACCAAGGTGCGCGTAGTATTTGACGCGTCGGCAAGAACACACAAGGGCATTCCTTTGAATAGCGCTTTAATGGTCGGTCCCACCATTCAGCTCGCGCTTTTTGAACAACTGTTGCGATTCCGCTCACATGTTTATGTTTTAACGGCCGACATTGAAAAAATGTACCGGCAGGTCTTGATCCATCCCGAAGACCGTTTATACCAACCCATTCTGTGGTATCATAATGACGAAATCAGGGTTTGTGGACTCAATACCATGACTTTTGGCGTATCTTCTTCTGCGTTTCTAGCGATTCGTACAATATCTCAGCTAACAGACGATGAAAGTACGAAATTTCCATGTGCTTCGCAAATACTAAAACGCAATTTATATGTAGATAACTTATTAATGGGTGCTAATTCTCTTGAAGAAATATTACAAATTCGCAACGAAGTAATTGAACTTTTAAGGAGCGGCGGTTTCAACATGCGTCAATGGGCCTCTAATCACCATCACGCGTTCGATAATATTACTGAAAAAATGTTCGATCTAGACCACGCAATCGAAGAAAATCCGATATTAAAAACACTAGGAGTTGTTTTGAACTCCCAGTTAGATAAATTCATTTGCACCGTAAATTCAATCGACTTATCCATCAAAATTACCAAACGGAGTATTCTGGCTAATATCGCAAAAATTTGTGACCCATTAGGCTTGCTAGGTCCTATTATTTTATCCGCAAAGCTGATAGTGCAAGATTGTTGGAAGATTAAGATCGATTGGGACGAAGTGGTACCCCAAGAATTGTATTCTAGATGGAGTGTGTACGCTAGACAACTCGAGTTCATTCGTGATTTGAATGTTGACCGCCGACTTTTAAACGAAAATCCAATTCAAATTGAGATCCATGGTTTCGGCCACGCTAGTAAGCGTGGTTACGCTGCATGTCTGACGGATTCGTTCTTGTTCGTCTAGCATGTTCTAAATCTCGAGTCGCTCCGATCAAAGAAATCACAATTCTTCGATTGGAATTGTGCAGTGCGCAAATTCTCGCTCGTCTTTATAAAGAAGCTCATCCTACATTTAACTTTCCGATAAACCGGATAATATTCTGGTCAGATTCCACGATTGTGCTACAATGACTTAAAAAATCACCACGTTTGCTGAAAACTTTCTAGGCAAACCGTGTTGCAGAATTTCAAGCTCTTGATAACCCGATCGAATGGCGGCACATACGAACTAACGACAATCGGGCAGACGCTTTATCGCGAGGACAGAGTCCTTCGGAATTTCTACAAAACCATAGTTGCTTCAGAGGGTCCACCTGGCTCGAGCAACCCAAAGTCCAGTGACCTATTAGCGTTGATTTCCCTATTTCAGAGCTACCAGGATTGAGAAAAACCATATGTTTCATTTCGACCACATTCACCAACGATTTCTTCGAACGTTTCTCTTCCTATTCAAGATTATTAAACGTTGCGTCTTATAGTCTTCGATTCTGCAGTTACAGAAGCAATTCTAAATTCTAGGCCTTTATGCTCGATTAGTACTGATCCCAACGATCCTATTGCGATGCCTTAAGATATGGAGATTCCTTACGAAGGCCCGTCAAGATTTTTAGAAAAGATGGCAATTGGAGTACTTGAGCGAGTAACAAAAGCGACAGAAGTGGTTCAACGATAACGACAAGCTTGAACCTAAATCCATTGTCCTTATCATCGATAAGAAACAACCCTGCATGAGATGGCAGCTAGGAGTGGTCCTTGAAGTTCATCCCGGAAACAATGGAAACGTACGAGTCGCTACTATAAAAACGGCGCAGGGAACATTTAAAAGAAATGTTACACAGTTGTGTCTATTGCCGAATGTAGCATAATATTATGTATCACATCTCAAAATATATACCAACACACGACAAACACCTTATTTTTTCTCGATTCTCTCGCAACGAGGGGGAGCATGTTGGATCGAAACAGATCCAAGTGTTTGAATATCGCGCGACCAGTTCGGTCATTGATAAACTTCTCAGACAAATGCTATACATGTCTGAAGTAATTAACGCCGCCGATTACGATCCGTTGTCGGTGTTAAAACAAAAAAAAAAATGTTTAACATGAAATTTGCAAAAAGAAACCGAGTTTCGTACAATTGTATGAAGAGCATCAACTACGACACATCGTCTACATCGTATTCGAATTCTTACTATATTAAAAGTACGCAATTAACATAAAATGATAACGCATAACACAAAATTATATGAATTATAAACGCTGCCGTTAAACGGTATTGCCGATGACGATTCAACGTCGTCATCCGAATCATAAACGCTACTATTAATCGGTATTACCGATGACGACTCGACGTCGTCATCTGAATTATAGCGATCATGCATGATTTGTAGAATGATTATGCCATACGCAGGCATTCTGGCATACGTACATAAATACACAATTTACACAATCATATGTATGCATGCATTATTTAATTTTAAATATACTTTACGAGGTTTTTGGCCGCAAGGTCTTTTTTCCTCGGGGTTTACCCCCAAATATTGTTGTTTTTTATTTATTAACATGTTTATTTGCATTTCATAATTTGAATCACGGAACTGAAGAAATAACTTCAGTTCCGACGCTACGCTTCCTTTTCCCCGAAATCCTCCTACCCCCGAACGATTGTAGCGCGCCGCAGCGACAGAGGCCTCGAGATACCCATGACACCGCATTGTACCGCGCCGAAACTCGCGACACCGGGAAACCGATATCTAAAGACGCGGTAGCGTCTCGACGCCAAGTACATGAAAAAATAGCCTCCCCGTATATGCCTGGCGCTGGCGCTACCGTGTATCTTTTACTCGAGAAAACGCGATTCCAACCTAACCCGAAATTTCTGTCATTAATATCTCGTCATGCCTGCTGTATTTTCTAAATCTAAAGGAATTTTTCTTATGTAAATCGCACATAAGTTTTCGAATAAAACCAAAATCAATCAAATCGGCCCACGAACAACAGAGATATCATAATATCATATCATGAATGTGTCAAAATGGCAGCATTTTTCTTTTCCTTTGACAAGGAATTTTTCGTCAACACTTAGCCAATAGGAGCTAAGGCCATGTGTCGATTCGTCGACTCTCGGAATCAGTCGGCAAGGCTCGTCGGTCGGAATCGTAATATGGTTGTCACTCATGCCGCTCGTTCATTTCTAACCTGTGACTGTCAGTTTGGATTTGTGACATTTGGTTTCTTGCAACAAGACTTTCTGATATGTATTGTACGTACTTTTGAATACTTAAAGGACTGATACTGGAATTTTAGTACAATAAATTGTGCGTTACCAATAGTGGATCTCTTTGTACATTTTCCTACTTTATTTATTAACATTTAAATTTGTTACAACAAGATTTTCTGCCACGCATTGTGCATACTTGTGAATTTTATTCTAGTACAATACATTGTGCGTTACACATATTGGATCTCTTTCTTTATTTCTCATTTCGTGTTTAACATTTCAATTTCTAGCAACAAGACATTTTGCGATGAGTTGTGTGTACTTTGGAAACGTAAAAGACTGAAACTGGTATTATAATATAATAAATTGTAGGTTGGAAATAGTGTAGACCTCTTTTTTCATTTCACACTTCATTTTTAACATTTAAGTTTGTTACAACAAGACTTTCTGCCTTGCGTTCTGTGTGGTTTTGAAAACTTAAAGGACTGAATCTGGTATTGTAATATAATAAATTGTGCGTTATTCATATGACATTAATTTTATTTGTAAATAACACATACAATCTTTATTTTACTTGCAAATTAATATAGAGCTTAAAATAAAAATACATTTGTCTTTTATTATATTAAGCATAGAGTCTACAATATACATAATGTGTCTGAAGCCAGATATAGGAAAGAGACCAGCTTCAGTCCTTTAAGTTTCCAAAAGTATACAGAACGCATGGCAGGATGTCTCACTGCAAGAAATTCGAATGTTAAAGATAAAGCAAGAAATGAAAAAAGAAATCCACTATTTGTCACGCATAATTTATCGTATTGCAATATCAGTTTCAGTCCTTGGAATTTTCAAAAGTGCACACAATGCATGGCAGAAAGTTTTGTTGCAAAAAATTTAAATAATGAGAAAATGATCAGAGATCCACTATTTGTAACACATAATTTATTGTAAAACAATAATATAGAAAAAGAGAGCTCAGATTTAGTTCTTTAAATCCTCAAAAGTACGCACCACACACGACAGAAAGTCTTGTTCCCAAAAATTTAAATGTTACTAATAAAGTGATTACAATAATATAGCAAATAGGCGATCAGTTTAAATCCTTTAAGGTTTCAAAAGTACACGGAACCCATTGCAGGTAGTCTCATTGCAAGAAATTTATTAAAGAAGAAATGAGAAATGAATACAGAGATCAACTATTTCTAACGCACAATTTATTGTATTACAATACAGTTCATACGTTCACAGAACGCATGGCAAAGAGTCTTGGAACAAATTTAAATTATGAGAAAATGAGAAAATGATCAGAGATCCACTATTTGTAACACATAATTTATTGTATTACAATAATATAGAAAAAGTGAGGTCAGACTTAGTCCTTTAATTTCTCAAAAGTACCCACGACACATGACAGAAAGTCTTGTTGCATTTAAATGTTACTCATAAAGTGATTACATTTTTTTTTCATAAATTTCTTGCAATGTGACTTCCTGCAATGCGTTCCGCGTACTTTTGAAACCTTAAAGGATTCAAACTGATTTCCCATCTTCTATTATTTGAAGTCATTCACTATAGAAATTATCTTTGTAAAAAG